CGCCCCACCATGGCCTTCGTGCGGCTGCGGGAGGCCGTGGAGCTGGACGCGGTGCTGGAGGTACCCGTGCCCGTGCGCTTCCTCTTCCTGCTTCTGGGCCCGAGCAGCGCCAACATGGACTACCACGAGATCGGCCGCTCCATCTCCACGCTCATGTCCGACAAGGTCAGGCCCTGCCCGGCGCCCTTGGGGACACGCCTCGGTCCGCTCCGGGACCCCCAGCCCTCGCCCCGCACCCTCACCGGCCCCGGGCCTGCTTTGGCAGCAATTCCACGAGGCAGCCTACCTGGCCGACGAGCGGGAGGACCTGCTGGCCGCCATCAACGCCTTCCTGGACTGCAGTGTGGTGCTGCCGCCCTCGGAAGTGCAGGGCGAGGAGCTGCTGCGCTCCGTCGCCCACTTCCAACGCCAGATGCTCAAGAAGCGGGAGGAGCAGGGCCGGCTGTTGCCCCCTGGGGCTGGACTGGAGCCCAAGTCAGCGCAGGAGAAGGGTACGGGCCTGGGGGCCAGGAGCCGCTGCCCGCGGGGGCTCAGGACTGGGAGGTCTGGATGAACATGGAGGAGGGGCTGAGCACGGAGGGGCCGTGGCGGGCGCCCTGACGGAGGCCTGGGTTGCAGCGCTCCTGCAGATGGTAGAGGTGGCGGATGCGGTGGAAGACGATCCCCTCCGGCGGACGGGACGGCCCTTCGGGGGCCTGATCCGAGATGTGCGGCGCCGCTATCCCCACTACCTGAGCGACTTTCGGGACGCGCTCGACCCCCAGTGCCTGGCTGCTGTCATCTTCATCTACTTCGCGGCCCTATCTCCTGCCATCACCTTCGGGGGGCTGCTGGGTAAGGCGAGGCTTTGGGATGCCGGCCACGCGGGCAGGGTACGCCCCGGCCCCGGCTGCCCACGCCTGAGCCGCGTCCTGCCACCCCAGGAGAGAAGACTCAGGACCTGATTGGGGTGTCGGAGCTGATCATGTCCACGGCGCTCCAGGGCGTGGTCTTCTGCCTGCTGGGGGCCCAGCCACTGCTGGTGATCGGCTTCTCCGGGCCCCTGCTGGTCTTCGAGGAAGCCTTCTTTTCGGTAAGGGCCCACAGGCTGGTGGAGGGCTGGCTTTTCCTGCCCCATTCCCCGGATAGGCCCATTATTTTGCTAGGCCCCGGGCTCTGGGCCCTGACTGGATCGCCCTGCCCCCCCCCCCCCAGTTCTGCAGCAGCAACAACCTAGAGTACCTGGTGGGCCGCGTGTGGATCGGCTTCTGGCTGGTGCTCCTGGCCCTGCTCATGGTGGCCCTGGAGGGGAGCTTCCTGGTGCGCTTCGTGTCCCGTTTCACCCAGGAGATCTTTGCTTTCCTCATCTCCCTCATCTTCATCTATGAGACGTTCTACAAGCTGGTTAAGGTGAGCAGGCCCTGCTGGGAGAGCTGGGTCAGGAGCGGTGAGACCTGGAGACTGGCGGGGAGCTGGGGTGCCTTCTGCCTCACTCTCACTCTCGCTTTGGGGTGGGAAGTCCCAGGCTTGCCCGGAGCTCCCCTGGGCTGCGGGCCAAGGAGCCCACGGAGCACGGGCTGGTTCTTCCTTCTGGCCCCTCTCCGCCCTCTCTGGCACCAACATGCATCCTGGGACTTCAGGTCGATCTTAAAAACTCACGTATTTAATAGCAAAGGTAACACGTTCTTTTGTTAAAGTGGCGGACAGTCCAGAAGTGTCAAAGAGGAAGGCCCCTGAGATGACACACACAGTCACAGTCTGGGCCTCAGAGCCGGGCCATGTCAGGCTTGGGAGAGGACACGGCCCCGTGATCCTCTGCTCCCCGTATCCTGGCCCTCCTGGCCTGGCTGGACCACCCCCCAGCTGCCTGAATCCCGTTTCCCTTGCTCACATCTGGTCACCAGTCATTTTCTTGATCAACAAAACAAGCCCTGGGGTGCCTGGGTGGCTCAGTTGGTCAAGCCTCTGCCTTCTGCTCAGGTCATGATCTCAGGGTCCTGGGATCGAGCCCTGTGTTGGGTTCCCTGCTCCGCGGGGAGTCTGCTTCTCCCTCTGCCCCTCCCCCTGCTTGTGTGCATGCACACACTCTCTCTCTCTCTCTCTCTCTCTCTGTCAAATTAATAGAAACCAAAAAAACAAGCCCCTTAAGGCCAGGCCTGCCATCTCCTACCCTGCCTACCCCACTCAGCATACGTCCGCGCCCAGAAATCTCTCCACTTGGGCTGACGGAGCCCTCTGTCCTCTCCCTAGATCTTCCAGGAGCACCCCCTCCACGGCTGTTTGGTCGCCAACAGCTCTGAGGTGGACAGCAGCGAGAACAGCACATGGCGTGGGACAGGAGCTGCACTGGGACTGGGGAACGGGAGCTCTGCGGGACCAGCTGGGCAGGGGAGGCCCCGGGGTCAGCCCAACACCGCCCTGCTGTCACTGGTGCTCATGGCCGGCACCTTCTTTATCGCTTTCTTCCTTCGCAAATTCAAGAATAGCCGGTTCTTCCCTGGCCGGGTGTGTGAGCTGAAATGCCAGAGGGAACGAGGTGGGGGGAGTGGGGGGCCAGAAGGGGTGACTGAGTCAGGGCTGGAGTGGGGCAGGGGCCTCTGAGCACACTGCTTGCCCACAGGTGCGGCGGGTGATTGGGGACTTTGGGGTGCCCATCGCAATCCTCATCATGGTGCTGGTGGATTACGGCATCGAGGACACCTATACCCAGGTGAGCCTGAGCTCATGGTCCGGCGAGGAGATGCTGCCTAGCGCCGGGCTCCAGATCTTCCCTTCCAGCCCAACCCCAGAGCTGCCTCTTACCTGTGTGGACCCCAGGCCTCTTCTGCAGCACGCCATCAGCATTCGCCCTGCCCTGTGCCCCTCGGGTCTCCCCCTCCACAGTTCACCAGCCCTCAGCCCCACTCTCTGCCCTCCAGAAGCTGAGCGTGCCCAGTGGAGTCTCCGTGACAGCCCCAGAGAAGCGGGGCTGGGTCATCAACCCCCTAGGGGAGAACAGCTCCTTCCCCGTGTGGATGATGGTTGCCAGCCTGCTACCGGCCGTCCTGGTTTTCATTCTGATCTTCATGGAGACACAGATCACCACGTGAGTGGTCCTGGCCCAGCGGGTGCTCCACAGACAGAACAGCTCTGTTCGTGGAAGGGCTGGAACCCCAGCAAGGCCAGCCACTGTGGGGGACTGAGTGAGGAAAGCCCAGGGTGCCAAGCTGGCCCCTAGAATTTATTTACCTTTTTATAGATTCATTTATTTATTCGAGAGCGAGCACGAGGGGGAGGGGCAGGGGAAGAGGGAAAGCAGCTCAGACAGACTCCGTGCTGAGCTCGATCTCACAACCCTGGCATCACGACCTGAGCCAAAACCAAGAGTCGGACGTTTAACCAGCAGCGCCTCCCAGGCGCCCCTGGAATTTATCCTGTAGGCAGTAGAACGTTCCACTGATGTTTGCTGGGATGGGCACAGTGGAGGCTGGAAGCGGTCCTGAACCGCAGAGAGGGCGGCACAGGGTGGGCCTTGCCCCATGACCAAACTCTTCCTGATGGAATGAGCAGGCACCACCAGGTTCCAGAAGCAGACAGAGGTTCCTGACTGGGTGCTCTGGGGAGACCCGGTGGTCTGCCGGGCTGGGCGTCAGGGCACGCCTGTCCCCACCAGGCTGATCATCTCCAAGAAAGAGCGGATGCTGCAGAAGGGCTCCGGCTTCCACCTGGACCTGCTGCTCATCGTGGCCATGGGCGGCATCTGTGCCCTCTTTGGCCTGCCCTGGCTGGCTGCTGCCACCGTGCGCTCCGTCACTCACGCCAACGCGCTCACCGTCATGAGCAAGGCTGTGGCGCCTGGGGACAAGCCCAAGATCCAGGAGGTCAAGGAGCAGCGGGTAACTGGGCTGCTGGTTGCCCTGCTTGTAGGTGAGTTCAACTCTCGCTCCACCCCTCCCCGGAGCGGTCTGCGGGGGTGGGGAGCACTGGGGCCAGCTGCTGCTCCCTTTCCTCCCCCAGGTCTCTCCTTGGTTATCGGGGATCTGCTCCGGCAGATCCCCCTGGCCGTGCTCTTTGGAATTTTTCTGTACATGGGAGTCACCTCCCTTAACGGGATCCAGTTCTACGAGCGGCTGCACCTGCTGCTCATGCCCCCCAAACACCACCCAGATGTGACCTACGTCAAGAAGGTAAGACCCCACTTGGAAGAGCCCCACGCCTCCGCCCCCTTCTGGCCTGCGGGGGTCCCTCTCCAGCCCCCGTTTGGTCTGTGGGGACCTGGCTTTGGTAAGCACCCAAAAAGGCACTTCCACCCCCATCCCCACGGAGGGAGAAAGGGTCACCTGTCCTCCGGAGGTGGCAGACCATGTGGCCCTCTGGGGACCAGGGCCCTCCAGTGCTGGGGAGAAGCCTGGGCTCACCTGTCATATCGCACCCACCCCCAGGTTCGGACCCTCCGAATGCACCTGTTCACAGCCCTGCAGCTGCTGTGCTTGGCCCTGCTCTGGGCGGTCATGTCCACGGCCGCCTCCCTGGCCTTCCCCTTCATCCTCATCCTCACGGTGCCCCTTCGCATGGTGGTGCTCACGCGCATCTTCACAGAGCGAGAGATGAAATGCGTAAGGCCTCCTGCCCCTCCCCTGGCCCCCGTCCACCTCTGGGGTCCCTGCCCAGGCTGAAGTCAGGCTCAGCCTCCTTGTTCTCTGCACCCCCCCAACAGCTGGATGCTAATGAGGCGGAGCCAGTGTTCGATGAGCGGGAGGGCGTGGATGAGTACAACGAGATGCCCATGCCTGTGTAGCTGCTGCCCGGACCAACAGCCAAGGGACAGATGGACAGAGGGAGCAGGGGCTTTGGCGGGGGGGCTCTCTCCAGCCCTCCCTCGTTTTTATTTAAGTGAATAATTTAAAGTCCCCATACCACCCCCACAGTAAAGCGCTTCGGCCCCCACCTACCCCTGGCCTTCCGTCTCTGTGTGGGGAGGAAGCGCGGACGCAAAAGAGGGGGGCCCAGCCCACTCCCTGTACCAGAAACGAGATGCGCGATGGGGAAGGAAAGGGACTTTAATGAGAAACCAAAATATAGAAAGCCAAAGTGCAAATTGTCCACCCCCCTATTGGGGGGGTCATCCTGAGACCCATGTGCATGCCCCTCACCCCCCTTCAGGCCCCCAGCGGAGGCCCAAGGCCTGGAGCTTCTGCCTCAGGTAGCTCTTGAGCTGGGGCAGGCCTCTCTGTGACTCCAGTTCCTCGAAGGGTAGCTGCAGGAGAGGGGAGCAGCGGGTTACACACATGATCTGTGGGCTGGGCAGAGGGGTGGCAGGATGGTGGGGAGTCTCACCGGCAGGAGCTGGTAGCCCAGCAGGCCCAGATGCCGCTCCCGTAGGGCCCGGGAGCCCAGCAGCACTCGGCCATCGCGGCAGAAATGCCAACGTTCCCGCAGCATGAGCACCACCCTGGAGGGGGCGGACGGCGGCTCAGGGGGGTGTCCACACAGGCAGGGAGGCTCCCCCGCCCTCCTCCCTTACCTCTGGGCAGGGTCGTGGGTAGTGGACTGGGAGGCAGCCTGGCCCTGGGCACAGGACCTGGGAGGGTAAGGTAGGAAGGGGTCCTGGGTCCTCACGGGAAGCACAGCACCAGAGCTGCTGACACACAGCAGGAAGTCTGGAGGGGGGGAGAGAGAGGGCCACTGGCTTCCAGCCAAGGCTCTGTATCCCGGCCAGCCACCTGCCCGCGGGAATTCACCTGTGCAGTAGCCTGGAGGCACGGTCAGGTCCTGTCGGTACTTCTCTTCCCCTAGCAGCTGGCGCAGCCCCTCTGCCACTATATCCTTGTGACTGAGTCGGGACAGGGAGCAAACACCAACAGGGAAAAGCTCAGGAGGCTGGACCCTGGGCAAATGCTTCTGATGTCCCAAGCACCGCCCCCTTCCTTTTTTCTTCCTAACTGCTAAGAGTGTGTCAGCATGGGTCAGCATCCCCCTGGCTCTTCTACTCTGTTTCCTGCAGGCTGGTCCCCTCCCTTTCCCCCTGCTGCCCCATCCACCTGTACTTGCAGCGGGCACGGTCAGTGATGAGTGGCTGGGGGAAGATGGGCACTTGCTGCCTTCGGGGAAGGCGGGGACCCCGGTATCCCGGAAGCTCCAGCTCCACGGCCGTGTCTAGCAGGGAGAGGTAGCGCCGCACAATCAGGGCGTGAGGGGTGCCTGTGGGAAAGCAGGACTGAGGCTCGCGGGGTAGCAGACTCCCACCCCCGGTTACCCTGCCCACTGGCCGCCAGGGTCCCAGCCAGCCCTCCCGTCTGCACACCGCTGATGTGGTTGATGAAACTTGGGGAAAAGACAAAGTGCAGGGCCCTGAGGGGCAGGCACCGCAGCTGGCACAGTGACATCAAGATGTTGACAGTAGCCAGGGGAGCCACCCCTGCTTCCCGAGCCAGGATCCTCTCAAGGCAGGGCATAAACTGCTGTTCCAGGGGCAAGTAGTTCAGCCGCCCAAAGGGCAGGACCAACTTCTGCACCACCTGTGGAGGAAGAGCAGCCCTTCACCCAGCACGAAACAGTTCTCCAAGATCCTTCACAAGCTGAACCTCAGCGAGGCTTGGCCTGCGAGCTTCTATTGTCTCTGTAAAGGCAGAACAATCCCTCTACCCCGACGTACACACCAGAAGTTCGACAGCATAATCAGTGTCTTGAGCCCCATGGGATTAATCAAACCAATGGAGACATCGCTGTGGGGTCTGGCCCCGAAGACTTAGGAGTGGGCTCAACGAAGCTAAGACAGCGCCGAGTGCGGAGAACTGCAGAGAACCAGGCATACACGCTGGGTGGGTGGACAAGCCAGGTGGGGGTGAGCAAAGACGAAACCCCGGGGTGGGGGGAGGGAACAGAGCACAGAGCCTGGCTGGTTGTCCACTGCAGGAGGCAGCCAGTCAAGCTGAACAGGGGCCGGGCCCGACACAGGAGGGCTAGGAGAGGAGCATGGCGGGGCGGGAGGCAATCCCACCTTGCTGCTGAGCTGGGCTTCCTGGACCACCAGGAAGTGGGCAATGGCTTCCAGAAGCTGGGGCTCCCGCAACCGGTGCCGGGCCAGGTGCTGGGCCAGGAGCACCATCACGTTGGGAGTCAGTTCCTCCGGCCTGGCCTCTGTGAAGAACACCCGTCACGCTGGACCGCAGGCCAGTGCTCGACTAGATCCACTCAGCCCAGACACCACCACCTACTGCCTCCTGTCTTTAGCCCCTCCCACCACCTGCCCTCAGTCCCCTCCAGCACCTGCCAGGCTGCGGATGAGATGCTGTCGGGGACGCCTCAGGAGACGAGGGCAGCTCAGAGCAGCTTCCAATCTTTGCCCACCGCACAGGTCGGGTTGCAGAGTGGGAGGTGGCTTCGGAGGGAGGCGGAACCTTCTCTCCTGCTCCAGGGCACACATCAGGGGCCCATCTGACGGGAAGCCTGAGAGGGAGAAGGTCAGAGGAGGCAGCCCTGGTAACGGGATGCTGCTCTGTTCCAGTCATGGGGTTCAGTTGCTGGATTCCCAACCTTTCGGGTCTCCGTGTTCTGGATGGAAGGGTTGCTATAGTGTGAGCAGAAGCACTGGAGAAACGTGAAATAGCACGTGACTGTGAGGTCTCAGAACAGTCTGTGGGGAAAGACCTTACACCAACACGGCAGTAAGCTGTCATCGCACGCCAACGGTGACAAACAGTGGTGGCTTTCTAGAGCACTGTGTTGGAAGGAATCAGGGCTGGCACCCCTAGCTAAGCTGGAACGAATGCTGCTGGACTCCTGCTGTCTGCTGTGGATACGGGGGAGCAGCACCGAGCCTGCCCGGCCATGTGCCATTCCTGGCAAAGCCCAAGAGGTGAATTCTGTCAGTGATCTTGGGTCTTCTATGGTCTTTCTCTATTCTTCCGTTAACACCCACCCCCCAGACGCCCTCCTCACCAAGTAAGACTGCAAGGTGCAGACACACGTGGACGGTGTGAGGATCAAAGGAGGGGCAGTTTCGGATGATGAGTTGACTCAAGTCCTGCAGTGTGGCCTGCTCCACGGGTGGGGGTCGTGGCTGGGACCCCAAGAGCTGACCCAGACGACGAAGTGCCACAGGGTAGTGATGGGCGCGCACCTTGGTGGGGTTCTGGCCCAGCCAACGCAGCAGCTCCCCAGGGCTCCTCGCCTGTTCCAGAAGCCGCTGTAGCCCCTGCACAGGGCCTGCATGGAGGCCTCCTCCAGGAGGCCGGTCCCCCCACTTGCTGGGCCCCAGACAGCAGGGCTGTACTGGCGGGAGCAGCAGCAGGCCAGACAGCCGAGCAGCAGAGGCCTGGGCAGAGAGCAGGACTCGAAGCATGGAGTTGGGTGGAGACCCTGAAGGGCAGCCCAGAAAAGGGGGTAAGGTTTTCTCCAAAGAGGAGAAAAACCGGCTATCTACTGACCTCACTGCCCATTCAGGGGGCCCTGGGGTCAGAGCAACCCACTCATGTTCACCCTTCCATGTGGCTGCTCTCGTCTTCTTCCCCACCCCGCCCCTCTCTGCCTCCTTCCATCCTTTGAAACAGCACCTTCGGTGTAGTCAGCACAGGGATATTTACAAAGCAAGTCCACATGCACTACGTATCTCCTCTGATGCTCCATACACGCCTCCGAGGTGGCAGGCAGGGCTGGCACTACCTCGATTTCACAGGTGGAGAAACCAAGGCCCAGAGAGGAAAAGGGGTTAAGCCCGAGGTCACGGATCGGGTTAGTGGTCGTGCCCAGCCTGGAGCCCAGCTTGCCCCGTCGATACGCCCTCCCGACCACCTCCCCCTCTCGCAGGAGGCGGCAGCGGCAAGGAGGGTGGAACGCGGGCTCGGCAGCCGGGCGGTCCTGGGTTCCATGCTGGGCGCTCCCACTTACCAGCTGCATGACCTTGGACAAGTGGCTTCGTCTCTCTGCCCAAGCCTCCTCGCCCGTGAAACGAGAACGCAGCGCCCACCTCGCAGGGCGCCGGTGGAGCCCGAGCGCGCAGCTTTGCAATGGCGCGGAGTCGGTGGTGTCAGGGGCCCCCACACCCACCCCGGCCCGGCAACGCCAGGAGACCGTGGTCACGGTCGCCAACACCAACTCCCGCGGCCCTCCCGCAGCCCGCCCCATAGGCGCCACCCCTACATGGCTCCCCAGGCCCCGCGCAGGTCGCTCCCTCAGTCGGTCTCGGGGCCCGGGAGCCGGGCTCCCCCCGCGGCCTCCTCATCGGCAGGCCACCGAGTCCGCCATCTTCCCAGCAACCCCCGGACCGCGGTCCGGACGCCAATCGCGGCTCAGTCCCCGACCAGCACAGACGTGGCTCCCGTCAAGCCCCGCGTGCCCCTGCGTCGCACGCTCCACCCCCCCACTTCCGGGAAGCTGCGCGCGCCGAGCCGGGGCGGGGCGGTGCCGGAGGCGGAGGCGGAGGGGCGGAGCCAAAGGGCCAGGTAGCTGAGGCAGGAGCGAAGGGAGAGCGGAAGCCGGCGGCGGGTGGTATGATGTTGGGATCCCCGGGGAGGGCCCAGTCTGGGTCCTTTACGCCTTTCCTCCCAGAGGGCAAGGGGTCCCTGCTCAACACCCCCACGGGGCCACACACCCGGACACACACCAGGAGTGAAAACTTCACAGTCATTTAATCTGCACGTGTTCCACACAATCCCTCTGCCCTCCCAGCTCCCCTTCCCCAGCGCCCCGCAGTCCTTAGGTCCTCAAATCAGCCCAAGGAGCTATTAGGGACTAGAGGTGGCTGGGTCCTCGGGCAGAATTCTAAGAAGGGCCCAGGGGTGTAGCCCGGCTCTGCCCGGGGCCAAGGCAGTGACAGCAGCTACCTGACCCAGAGGAGCTGACTGTCAGCGGGGACCGAGGGCCAGCAGCCCCAGCAGGTGGCCCAGAGGCATGGAGGTCACAAGGGGGGACCTCAGCCGACTCCCGGAGCGCTCTGCTGCGCAGGGCTGGGCTCCAGGGTAGCGGGAAGAGGCAGGCCGGAGAGGTGGGCCTGGGTAGACAACAGTGCCCACTGTGTCGTGGGGAGCAAGGTCCAGAGGGGCCAGCAACGCTTCCGAGAGCCCGTGGAGGCACTACGGGCGGTACATGGCAAAGGCCAGGAGACTGAGGAGCAGGGTGAAGCCCGCCAGACCCAGAGTGGCGGTCAGGGGAAAGAAGGGCCGGTACTGGATCTGGCAGTACCAGAGGAGCAACAGAAGCAGCAGCAGCAGGGGCAGCAGCAGGCTGCCGATTTCCAGCCCGGAGGGGCCTGGCTCTGACCCCGGTGGGCAAGGAGGGTGTGGGGGACCGACGCGTGTGGACACGTGGCAGTGGAGAACGCAGTTGGGCGGGAGGTGAAGGCTGCCCAGGGTCTGGGTGTCGTCTCCTAGCAGCTGCCCTTGGTAGATGAGTCGCACCTGCTGTTCCCGGCCGGGAAACTGGGTCCTGAGGAGAGAGGGACCTGGGTAAGAGAGCAGGCCTCAGGCAATCCTGGTCCCTTGCCCAGACCAACACTCCCACCCCTCACTTTTGCCTCCACCCAGCACTCAGGTGGTGGCCTCTATGGGGGTCCCCTCCTGCTATAAGGGGAATGATAGTGTGTGACGTGGGGACCTCAGTTCCTTCGTCTGCAGAAGGAGGGGGAAGTCTCAGATCTCTCTGATGGCCCTTCTGGGTCTGTAATGACTCCCACCCCAATCTTTAGAATTTCTTTCCTGTCCTCATCCCAGCTTACCTTTTCAGGGAGCCAATTGTATCGTGGGGCCAGGCCCTGGCCACCTGCTCTGAATCATTGAGGAATTTCAGCCGCAGCACGAGGGGCTCCTGGGGGGAGTCCTGCGATGGCGACGTCGCTGAGAGCCCAACGCCAGGCTCTGGCTGTGCAGCCTGACCTCTGTGTCTCAAGCTGGGGGTCTCGGCTCCTGGGGCCTCCCCTCTGATGCTGCCGGTGACCGCCATGGCTTCACTGGGCTGTGCTGCTGCTGGAGTCCCCGACGGCTGGGGCAGTGGGTCGGCACCCTCCGCAGTGTGTGTTGAGACCCAGGCGAGAGCCAGCACCAGAAGGCAGGCAAGCACCGCGAAAAGGACGGTCACCTCATCACCCACCCCTTCAATCAAGGCCATGGCACCTGCCTTGCCTGCCACCTTACTGAGCTGGAGAGGTACAAAGAACCCATGAGGGGCTGGCTCGCTGGCCAACTTAACTCCAACAGGCTCCTGCCCCCACCCCATCAAACTCTCCCAGTCCTTATTCCTCTGTCCCATTACCCACACTCCACCCTAGGGCACATACTGTTCTGAAACCCGGCTGTCCCAAAGTTCCCTCCAGTGCCCCTTCCCATAACCAAATCCCAAGTCTTACCTTTTTGTAACCTGAGTTCTAGGTCCTAACCATCTCCCCAATTCATTCAAACCCTATCCCAATATAAGGGCCTTGATCTTCTAAGCAACTTCTCCCCTAAATTCAACCCTCAGCAAACTTCACCCCAAAGCTTATCTACTCCTCCATCATTAAAGTTTCTGCAAGTGGGGAAGAAAATGTGGTTCTATGTCCCCCACCTCCACCCCCGTTATCATTTAACCAAACCGCACCCGCGGCAGGGGACTGCTTCCCAAGGCTTCCCCACACCGTACGTCAATCTCCGCCCTCCGGCAATTCGGAGCTTCCGAGAGCTGCCATCCCCCCACCGGACTTGGCCCCTCGGGTCTACTCAAGCTCCACCCCGCGGCGGCCGGACTCGGCGCCTCCTCTGGAAGCCTCTCCAAACCCAGTCCGCAAGCGGACCCGAGATCCCGCCCGGGAATCCGAGACTTGACCCTCCCCACCCCCAACTCTTCCATCACCCCTCCCATCTTCCCGCCCCCCGGAGCCACGGGAGGGCACCGGCGAACCCCGGGCGGGGCGAGCGGGAGCCAGCTGGGGCCCGGGGCGGTGGGGTGGGCGCGGTCACCGCGCGAGGACTCACCTCCCGGCTCCGCCAGCTCCATAGCGGACCCTCGGGCACTTCCGGGCGGGAGGCGCCGAGGTCGCGGACACCTGAAGGCACCCCCTCCTTCCCTGCCGCCGCCTCCCGGAGCATTGTGGGACTTGTAGTTCTGAGCCGTGCGCATTTCCCGCCCTCTGCCTTGCTGACCCACTTGCCGGGATCCGCAGGCTAGTCGTGGGGACCGCAAGTCGTTGAGTAGCCGCGGGGGCGGGCTTAAGGGTTGTGCCATTCTCCTGAGGTCCGGGCAACAGGAAGACCCGCCACCTCCCCCGCTGGCATCCAGGGCATCTGTCACTCTAAAAACCGACGTCAGCGAGAACACGTCAGAGCGCCCGTGTTTTCAGATGCAGACTCTGGGGCGCTCAGGTGACCCCTACCGTGGTCTGTCGTTATGTCAGAGTGGACGCCAAAAGGCACTGTGGGCCCCTTAAATTGACTCTTTGGCTCAGAGCCCGGTACCCATGGGCTGTCCCATCAGGTTGGCTGAGGACATTCATGGCCGGGGCTGGCCACAGTAGCTTGGGCTGCCCTGTCTCCTTGGTCCCTTCCTCCACACCGCCCCTGTAAGACTATGCGAGAAGCACAGACCTTGGAACCTGGCACAAATGCTGATCTCTTATCCCGTGTTTATTAACTGTGTGACCTTGGGGGCACATGAAATCTCTTTGATTCATAATTGCTTTGTTCCTAAAACATAGTTCATAAGGAAATTGTAAGGAAGAAATTAAGCATTTTATTAAACAAGTATGGAAACTGTGTAAGGGAGCCATTACACACTAGGTATTTGTTTGCCTAGTATTACATGAGTACCTAGTTACCCAGTATCACACCAATACTCTGGGCTTGGAAACTACATTCTTAGTGTGTTACTGCGTAGAAGACTTGGATTCACAGCCTGGCTTGGGCCAGCTAATTTCTATGGCTTTTTCCTTCCTTCCTCTGGGCCACAGAGATCTCATGTGCTGGGTTTTATAGGCCAGTCCTGGGGAAAAGCCACGTACCCTAGTGTTTCCACAATTCATGCTTACTCGTCCGAGCAGGTACCCCAAGTGGGAACAGGTACTGCCTTGGGAAAGTCAGTTTAGATATATAACATGCAGATCTAATTTCTCTCTAGTTCTTTCCCTCCTATTCATTCGTTTATTCTAGAAACATTTATTAAATCTATACTATATGTCAGGCACTGTGCAAGACGCTGGGAATACGATGGTGAATCACACAAGTGAACTTGTCCCTGCCCTCACATGGCTCATATGATGATAGGCGAGAGACAGGTAGACAAGCCCACCGGGCCTAACACAGATCTGTGCTGGCTGTTGGCGCAACACATAGGAAAAGCTCTTTACCCTCAGCATTTCTCCTGGGAGCTACCTGGTGCAAATTCTTGCTGTCGGTTCTAGTTAAGCATCTAAAAGAGATGTTTGCTGTGGCTTTCAGAATTACACAGCGTCCGAGCTAGGTGTTCTGCTCAATCACTGTATTTTGCAGATGAAGCACTGAGAAGGTAAAGGACATCAGTAAGTTCCAACATGTAGATACAGCCTGAGTCTCTTAGGAGCTAGGGAAGCCCCAGGTGTTGAATAGCTCACATCTGGTTCTTTTTCTTTTTCTTCTCTTTTTTTAAATAAGATCCCACTCATTTATTTGACAGAAAGAGACACCGCGAGAGAGGGAACGCAAGCAGGGGGAATGGGAGAGAGAGAAGCAGACTTCCCGCTGAGCAGGGAGCCTGTTGCAGGGCTCTATCCCAGGAACCCAGGATCATGACCTGAGCCAAAGGCCGATGCCCAACGACTGAGCCACCCAGGCGCCCCTGGCTCTTTCGATGGTACAAGACACTTGGGTGACCGCATTGGTACTGGGGCAGAGTTGTGTGAGTAGCCAGATGGGGGCAACTCTTTGCTGGGAAAAGATTCAGCTTGGGTTGGGAAATGAAAGTGTGTATAAAAAGCCTGACATATGTCAATTGTGTCAGAGGACATCTGGGCACAGTCCTGGGAGGCTGACTGGCTGGGACCAGGGCCCTGCACACACCCTCTTAGAGGCATTTTTGCAAAGGTTGAGGATGACCCCTGACTAGCAGGACCGCAGACAGCTTTGGCAATTGCGATGCAGAGAAACCGAAACATGGAAGGGAGCTCCCTGGCCCCTCCAGGAGTGAACAAAAACACAAGATGGTCAAGGGGTTGAGGACAAATAAGAGAGCCATGCAGGCTCTGGTGAATCTTTTGAATGGGGCGAGTGGGGGAAGAAGGGATCCTTTTGGATTCCTCTCTCTTGTCTGCCCATGTACCAGCTGGTCCGGGGCCCGGCAGACAGTAAACCATCCAAGTTCCAAAGGGGAATCTTGTAGGAGAAGCCTGAAGATGAGCGAGGGTCTGTTGTTTAAAGCGCCATTTCCAAGGGCCTTGCTGATTGATGAAGCTCTCAAGAAGTGGAAATAGAAGCTGGGGACCCAGATTTCCAGGCTCTGTGCTGCAGCCCGCAGTGGAGAGACCCGGAGACCATCAGAGAGAGAACCCCGGGGACAAGGTGGTCTCCAGGGATGATCACGGGCGGAAACAGGGGAGTCTGTGCAGTCCTAAAGGCAGGACCCCGTAAGTGCGGCGCAGCTGTGCCTGGGCTGGCGGCCCTTCTCTGCCTGTCCGCCGCGTTCATCAGTTACCCTCAGGCGCAAGGCACTGCTCGGGCACTGGCAAAGATCGGACACCCCACCCAGACCAGAGCAGGGAGGTGAAAGAGACAGCCGGGGCCGGGAGGAGGCCAGAGCAGCTGTCCACTTGGAGCCGGTGGCCCTCAAGGCGGGTGTGGGTGGGGGCTGGAGAGCAGGCGGAAGGGCCAAGGCTGGGTGGGAGGGGCCCGGAGCCGGGGCTGGAGAGCGCGGCTTGTGGGGTGGAGGCTGCAGAGCCAGCGAGCGAGCGAGGGGCGGGGGCGCTGGGGGCCGGCGCGCAGGAGGGGCGGGGGCGGCGGGGGGGGGGGCTCGGGCTGCGTGTGCCGGAGCTGGCGGGGGCGGCGGTGCGTGCGCATGACGCGGGGGGAGGGCCCGGGCCGCGCGCTCCCGGTCCCGTTGTTGTTGCCGCTGGAGGCAGCGGGATCGCGGCGCCGAGAAGCGCCCTGCAACGGCGGCCACAGCGTGCGCGGCGGCGCCTCCCGGCCTCGGCCCCCGGCCTCCAGCCTCATGCGCTAGCCCCGCGCCGCCGGCTCCGTAGTCCCGGCCCCGCCAGCCCCGCGCGCCCGCCCGCTACCGCCGCCGCCGCAGCGCCGCCCCGGGCCCCGGCCGGGCCCGCCTCGGGCCCCGCGGCTCCAGAGCCATGAACTTCCAGGCGGGCGGGGGGCAGA